CCCCCCGAAAAAAAACACAAAAAAACACACACACAAAAACCCAACAACAAAACAAAACAAAACGAAGCAAAACAAAACAAAAACAAAACCCCCACGGGTAGTTCGAATTACACCCAATTTAAGCTAAGCTTAATAAAATTCGCTGGTAAGTTGTGAGGATTTCGGGAAAAAAAGAGAGACATAATTCAGTATCGTATCTGCCTCACCAGTGACCTCTCCTTAGCAGTCACCTGTACAGTGGCGTCGGTGGCCTAGTGGTTCTACCGGACTCGTAATCGTGAGGTTGCGGGGTCGGGGGTTCGAGCCGCAGGCCCGACGTTGTGTCCTTGGGAAAGGCACTTTACATGAATTTTTCTTACTTCGCCCAGGTGGAAATGGGTACCCAGCAAGGAGCTTAGAACCAATCTTTAAATCTCCTTGGTACCAGCCATAGACAGCGAAAGATCTTGTCAGTATATTAGTGTTTTAGCGCCTATAAGTGGCTGCTTTCACTGTATGCTTCCCAGGAAGTTGAGTTTGTTTCACAATGCTCTCAAGTCTGCTGGCGTAATAGTATAGATTGTGAAGCGCATAGAGCTTGCTGTTGAGCGGGGATTTGCGCTATACAAATGCCATCTATCATCATCATCATTATTTATTATTATTATTATAACGAACGGCTACTCTTTCATGACTCAGCGTTTCCCCCATATATTATAGTGGTTTCTGTCCAATGCGACCACCTTCAGTCATGTTTTTTTTTCCTACGACAAGCCTAGTGGGCCTCAAAATCTGCTCATGGCTCATAGAGAACACTCTCCACATTACTTCTTCCTCCTTCAACCCGTCCTCACGTTAATAAATCATAGGCCTACAGACAATTACTCATGCAGATTTATCACACTTTTGATGGAGTTAAGATGGATAGGTCTAGGTTTAAAAAGTATGTGTTCGTGCGTGCGTGCGTGCGTGCGTGCGTGTGTGTGTATAATATAATATGAGGCGTGTTGACAAAATGAGTTAAATTGCTTCTCCCAACCCACGATTGGGTATGTTAGCTGAAAATAGACACGTTAATTTTGTAGATTTTAAACTGATGTAATTTTTTCCCGTGTTAATAATAAATTGCACAAACCCAACCGATACATTTCATGTTAATCTAGCGTGTCTACAGGGCTAAAATCCGAGAATTATCTCATTTTGTCAACATGCCACTCACACACACACACACACACACACACACACACACACACACACACACGCCAAAGTAAGAGATTGCGATAACTTCCCCTCTTTCGAAAACAACCAAATGGTGGCGTATGAATATACTCTGATAGGCTACTACTTCATAAGACCGCCAGAAGATTCGATTGGCTAAGGAAAATAACTAAACAATAATAGATCTACTGCGTGTGTTCTGTTGTTTTTTTCTACTTAAAAGTACTTAAGAATGGATAGAATGAATCAGGTTTAATATTTCCTCGTCAAAATTGGAAGTAGATATCTAATTCTGATGACATCAGAAGGTGTTGTTTGAGACTATATTTTTTAGCGGAAGTAGAATTCTGGATTTAGTACATGAATAACCACAACCCATGACAAAAACATAACCTTTAGCCTACCAAGCCCAAACGCCAAACACACTAATAAGCAGTCGAGCTTGTTGCACGTGGTTTGTGGTTTATCAACATACTTTAATTCCACGTTTCGAGCACGTGAGGTCTGTTGACAAACATTTAAAGGTTTTTTTTCCGTTGAGAGTTGTCTGAGGATCAGAACAAAAGTGGATGTCGAACGTGGCCTCACGCATGGAGGCGGAGGATAACAAGTTGTATCTGCCTGTCCCTGGCGTAAAATTACAAGGTGAGATTTTGTGTGACAGGACCGGATAGAAGAAGGATAACTTATGACATTTATGACAGTCGAAAGTTACGTCATCTGTCTGTCAGTCAGTCAGGGACATGATGATCCTCCCATAATTAGGCCCACATGTAGATCTAGAATAGATCTAAATCTAGATAGATCTATAGAATCTAGAGATGTAATGAATGTATACAATTTAGAAGTAGAAGGCGCATCTTGTTGATTTTTGCCTACAACTCTCTTGGCTTACCACTCTCTTCACTTGAATTCTTTTTTTTTTCTTCTTTGTAAAAAAATTAAAGTGTTTTACCACGACACTCACAACTGCATCATAAGGTCATACGAACATGCGGGACATCTTCCCAATTAGGACCGGTATTTTATCTTTTCGTGTCTTTTCGCCGTCTTTTTGTGTGTCTTTTCGCATTTTAGTATGGTATGACTGGATCTAATAAAATACGAAGTGACTTGTACTTGTATATTGACAATTGAGTCAACTCCCCAAATTAATCATAACCATGTAATCTAGGCCTACTACTAATCATCATTTAATTTAATATCAACTGGTTTTTGCGAGTCGACTGCCCATTTAATCAGTTGATGTTATTCATGGGAGTCGCATCAGATCAGTTTTCAATGCTTCATGATGTTTTTCAGTGTTTCTAAGTCTACAAAACACAGACTAGGATCTATCTCTAAATCTAATTTTTACATTTCCTGTACCCTCTTCACTTTGCGACTTCCATTAGCTACCTTTTTTCCATTTTACCGTTTTCCTTCAGGTTGCAATGAAATTTTCGAACATCTAAGGTAAAATAAGTAATTAAACAAGGCCACCTCTATTCTCACCCGGGGTGAGAATAGTGCAGGCGAGTCTTTTGGCTATTCTCACCCGGTGCGTGTTCACCGTATAGCCTAGATCTAGGCCAACAAATTTTGCGTTCACCCTAAACCACAGAATTCTACATTGTGAACAAACGTTCCATTACAACTGTAGCCTACTAAAAGTAAAAGCGTACAATTTTGTCTGTGGGCAGTGGAGAGAGAGAGGAGTAGCGCGAGAACTTCCGGTCATGAGAATTATACAACAGTCAACAAAAATGTAGCGGGTATCGTAAAACTGATATTTTAATTTTAGCGGATTGTTGGCCAAACTTTTCATTCATTCTTGAAAGTGTGTGCGAAGTTGGTTCCCTATCTATTGAAATCTCAGCGCTGTGTGAGTTGAGTTAGTTCTAAAGATGAGAAAGGCTCTGGTCACACTGCAAGCTGAGCGGGGCTGGGCGGTGAAAATAGAGGTGACCGGCCATACCATGAGCGATGCAACTCGAGGCAGGTCAGAAGAAAAGGGGGAGAAAGAGAGAGAAAAGGCGTTAACTACACAGAAATAAAAACTATTATACTCTTTTTAAAGCACCTCAGACACCAGATGGCTACCATGAGCTGTCCCGCCAAGAAAGTGATTATCTTCAGACTAAGGACACAACACACAAGACTGAGATAACATATATGTACAAATGTTTTAAACTAGTACAATCACCAAAATGCCAGTGTGGAGAGGCAGACCAAACTGTTGAACACATCCTTCAGCACTGCAAGACACACAGGGCCCTGAGACAGGAAACGTGGCCAACCCCTCTGACGCTGCTATACGGGCCGACAGATGAACTGAGCAGGACGGCCCAATTTATGACAGAGATACCAGACTTCAAGTGTGATGCGATCGAGAAGAAGAAGAAAAGAAGAAAGAGAGAGAAGAAGAATAAGAATTTTTAATGTAGGTGTTTTTAACAACCCCATCGACACAATTTAGATTAGGCTATTATTGTTAGGGGACCGTACGCCCCAATAGTGTTTGGCGCTAGGGGACCGTACGCCCTACCTGCGCTAAGGCTTGGTGCTACGAGACCGTACACAGATGTGCATGCATCTGGACTTTGCAAAAATACTGGAGAGGAAAACGGCCAGTTTAACGAAACTCCTGACGTAAGGAGTTATTACTAGGAGAATGTTTAAAATGTCTGAATACAATTGTGAGGTATCCAGTGGCCGTGGGTGAACCAAAATTTGAAATTTATTCACGTCTGCACTCACGTTGTTGTTATGTGTCAATAAAAGAAATCAATGAGAGGGAGAGAGAGGTGGAAAGAGTTGGCGAAGGGAATGAGGGGGCAAACGATGGGGTCGACAGGGTAATTAATAAATGCTAGCTATTATATTGAAAAGAGATCATTAATCATGCATGCAACGCCTTGCGTGGAATCTGAGTTAAGAGTACAAATTAAATTCATAGTATACCAATTTACGCCTATAGTGCGGTCAAAATACACGGCGCAACTTATTGTGAAATATCTCCTTACCTATAGATAGAACATAGATTCTCCAACTTTTGCACAGTGACTTGTATCAATTTGTCTTAACAGTGGTGAATATTTTTTCAAACTTCTGCACACTGTATTCTAGAAAATTCCTTAATAAATACTAATAAAAAATCCCAGTCGATTGTTTCTACGAATTAAACAAATTTTACAGCTCCGGCAATATCACTTTTAAAAGCAAGTCTGTCATTTTTTTTCCAATCGCAATAGCATGCATGCTTATTGAACGTATGTTTAGGAAACCTTTAGAGTAAAAAGAATGTGTTCATTATATAAACATTTTTGTATGCAGTTTTGCCACTAAAAAGTGTCATTGACGAGCTATGACGTAGGCCATAGCGTTTGCAAAATGTGTGCGAGAAGCGGGAAGTGCTATGAGAACAATCACATTTTTCGCGTGATGGAGATTTATAGGCCTAGTATAAATTTATGAAGAAATATTTTTTGATCGAGCCTCAATTGTTGTGGAAAAATATGATTTAGTTAAAACATTTTTATACAAACTGCTGTGCAAAGTATGGCTGACATTGATTCTCCCGAGATATTTGAGGAAAAGTTGCGCCTCGAATTTTTGACCGCTCTATAGTTACACGACACCTGCGCGCAAAAGTAGTCCAGTAAATGTTGTTATTATTATTATATTAATGTGGACAGGCGTTGTTGTTTTCAAATCCCTTTAGCTGCGAGCATTTCGCTCTTGGCAGCGCAAATGCCTCCCTCAAGTAACCACATATAAATATGTCCTTGTCATCTGGTCAACGCCAGAGTTGGACAGGCGTATAATATTATATTTATGCGCTTGCAAATAAACTTTAATTCATAGACTGTGCTTAGTTCACAACCTGACGTTCTGTCAAGTTTGCTTTGCTTTTCATCTACCTTTTCCAAGCTGTCTTCTTTTTCCTTTCTTTTCATATTTATTGTTTGTCACTGAATGTGAGTTGATCTTGCGTCTTGCGTGCTATCACTGGGTGCATGCTCAGGTGTGTTCTCTCATGCAAAAGTGAGTAAATTTCCAGCGTTTACGAGCGTCATTAATAAATGGGGCTTATGGGCCTATTTATTTTAGGTCGCAAAGCTTAAAAATGTACTCACGTCTGCACGCAGAATACGCCTGAGCACACACACTATCCTCCTACTCATTTTTCTCCAAAACATTCCCTTTGTGTAAATTTGTTCATCTCTCTCTTTCTCTCTCTCTCTCTCTCACACACACACACACACACACACACACACACACACACACACACACACACACAGGCACACACACAAACACACACACACACACACACAGGCACACACACAAACACACACACACACACACACAGGCACACACACAAACACACACACACACACAGTCACACACACACACACACACACAGGCACACACACACACACCCTCACACACACACTCTCTCTCTCTCTCTCTCTCTCTCCATCCCTCTCTTTGATTTCTTTTATTGACACACATAACAACAACGTGGGTGCAGACGTGAGCAAATTTCAAATTTTGGTTCACCCTCGGCCACTGGATACCTCACAATCATATTCAGATATTTTAAACATTCTCCTAGTAATAACTCCTTACGTCAGGAGTTTCGTTAAACTGTGGAGGGGGGTGAGAGAAAGAGAGAGATTTAAAATGAGTGTACTCAAGAAGGTAATGCTGTAAGAGAAAAACGAATAGGATAATTATATAAAATTAAAATAATGTGCATGCTCAGGCATGTTCTGCGTGCAGATGGAGTAAGTTTTTAAGCTTTGTGCGCTAAAATAAATTTAAGCCCGATTTAATGACATGACGCTCGTAAAAACGCTGAAAATTTACTCATTGCTGCATGCAGAACACGCCTGAGCACGCTCAGTTTTAATAGCGTGCAAGACGCAAGATCTGCTCACATTCAGTAACAATAACAGGCCTACGCGACAGCTTGAAAAAGGTAGATGAAAAGCAAAGCAAACTATTACTTGTAGAGACTTGGACAGAACGGTGGGTTGTGAACTAAGTACAGACGAATTAAAGTTTATTCACCAGCACCTTATTTTTAAAAAAAAGTAAATTCCACTTTTATTGATCCCAGAAGGGCAATTTGGTTTACAATGGCAAACATATTAATACATACACATAAATACGTAACTTTATGAACATATACACGTACCCAAATACATGCACACATATATATATATAAATCATATACACAATATAATTGCATCAGTACAGAACAATTTGCAACCATGCCATTGCTGTTACTGATTGCCACTGTGCAGCGCCCTGTATTTTGAGCTAGGGTTGTCGTGTCTTGCTCTTTCAAGGCTACTCCAGTGACCACACCCATCTAAACCCTGTGTCACCTACACTTGCTTGATATTACTTGAGTCTGAACTCACTGCTCACTTAGCCACTTGAGCCCCCACGCCTGTGCACGTTAATTTAAATAAAACATCATTAGTTTAACTAGACTACTATTTTATACGCAGATGTCGTGTAACGAGGCATAAAAGTTCTACACTATAAATCTAATTTGTACTCTCAACTCTTATTTCACGTAAAACGTTACATGATGATCTCTCCCAATAACATCCACTGATTAAATGGGCAGTTGACTCCTAAACCAGTTGACATTTATGGGGAGTTGACTCCCAATAACGCCTTCCCCTTATTCTCACCCGGAGTGAGAATAAAATGGATAATAGCGATAGCCTAAAGAACAAATAGTGTTAGTTGTCTCCGCCTAAGGTCCCGGTGCTTGGGAGCAAGGAAAATGTGGGATCTAATCTTGGAAGGACTCCGTAACGAGGGACGACTATAAAATAGAGTGCAGGTTAGCAGGTCTTTTTTTTATTGTGTCTGTTGGTGTGGTCGCTTGTTACGGATATCCTTCCGGGATCTTGGGCAACTCATTAAAATTAAAAACCAAAGGGAGAATCCATGGTAACTCATGTTCAGGCCCACAAATGGTGAAGTTACTCTGAAATGAACTTGATGTGACCTCTGTATCGGTTTATGACTTTTATGGCGAGCAAAGTAGTGACGGAGGCTAGTTGATCCCCCAGAATTTGGAGGCAGCTTTTGAGGTTTTGCTAGATTAAAAAAAAAGAATAAAAAAATGAAGCTCTGCCCCTTCCCCTAAAAAGCAAACAAAACCCCCCCCCTGATTCCGGTCTTTCATCAAAAGAATGCTGTAATAAGAAAATAAAAACAACACCCCCCCCCCCCAAAAAACAGGAAAAAAGTTCAAATAAAAATCCCCAACAATAGACACAGCTCGAGCTAATGTAGGCCTACTACTGCAGTTTGTGGCCTTTTATGGTAAAAAAAATGATTGACATTCTACTACAGTAAAAAAAACTTTTGCTATGTCCCTTGTTGAATCTACGTACTGATACTTATCGTGGGCTCTCTTATTACGATAAAGTACTCCATATTGGCCAGTATAGAGACTAGTGGTCATCCTTGATGACATTGTATCAGTCTCATGAGGCATGCCATTTTTACTTCCAATCGCTGACCCTATAGCTCCTCCCCTTTGCCGTACCCTTTTAACTTGTCTAAAATTTCGTTTATTTAGATATTTTGCTTTCCATCTCTGACCGAGTTCCCCTGCCTCTGCAGTAATGCTATATATATGTAGTAATATATTCAAATATTGTGTTAAATTGTCACTTGTGACCACACCAATAAAAGTCCAGTCTGTATTGAAAATTCGAAAGTAGAGACTGCTGTAATGGTCAGGGATACAAAAGCACAAAAAAGAGTTCACAGTTTGATGTGATCCCGTCTGATGCAGAGTAGTAGACCCAACCCACCCACAACTTGTGATGTAAGCTCAGGTGCGAGTGTGATGTTGGGAAAAACAAACATGTTGATGAATTTAGACACCTCTGTGTGATCCCATCTGAGGCGAACATTTTACGTTTTGTTTCATCGAGATTAACGATCAAGGTGTGATCATCCATGAGAGTGGATTCAGATCTGTGACGCAAGAGGCAGTACAGTCAAACCTCATTGTAAACCCCCTTTTATACTGCCAGTTTGCTTACCCCTAGGTTTTCCCAATGTACGAAAATGAACACCTATAACCATAAGATAGTATTTTCTCTTGTGCCTTTACACCACCATCCACCTATGGCCTGTTATACAGTCCTTTTAAATTAATAAAAATTTGCCCGTTATACCGCCAGGGAATCGGCCGCTAGATGTAGGCCTACACACTACAGATGGTGCACTGCACCCACTGGACGGTCGTTTGATAATCTGAGCCCCACAACAGCAACGCCTCTGAGAGTTCTGCCTATTTCTAGCGTTTCTTTGCCATTTGCTCCTGGTTTGCGATGATTATGAAAATTATGCTATTAAAATTAGTTCCCTTTAGGCTTTGGCCAAATTTAAAAAAAAAAAGAATTTATATAAGTAAATATTGGAATGAAATTTTAAAGTGGCCCGGAGAAACTTCAAAGGAATTGCCCCTCATTGACTTGTCAGTAAAATATCTGGTGTCACCAGATATGTAATATCAGCCGTATGACCAAAAGGCTGGGTCTGAGGCAGCCCGAGGACTGACAAGTATCAGGTACAGAAAACTGAATGTCTACAGGGTCCTTGACACATTGAAAAGATTTCCTTGTCCCACCAATTTCGGTAGTGCCTGAATGAGACTTGTTAGATTGCAAAAACTTAACCATTACTTTTATTCAGTAAAAACTTCTTTGAGAACTGTTTCAGGATATTCTGACCTCTTTTACAGATCTTCTTGACTGGCAAGACCCTGATCAGAGGAATCACCGCCATTTGGTTCATGTCTCAAATCCTAATCATGAACTGAAAGTTTCTTTTGACTCAATGAATTCTGCGGAGTCTCATGTTCACCGGAAATGCTTTGGACAGGCTGTAGACTTGAATGATGACACAATAGCCTTGTTTCGCATTGGAAAGGAAGTGTATGCTACTCAAGCAAAATGCCCGCATGCTGGTAAGCTTTTTATGACTTCTTTTTCTTTAAAAAAAATTGCCTACTGCTCCTTAATATTGGAACTTTATTAGAGTGCTCCCTGAACATATGTTATAGTGCAGTAAAACATCCCCAACTTTTGCACAATTACTTCAATTTGTCTTAACAGATCGATATTTTTGTTTAAAGACCTGTTAGCTGTATTCAAGAAAATTCCTTAATAAGCACTAATTGAAACCCCACTGGGTAGTTTCTACAGCTTTTAAAAGGTTTACAGCTGGGACAATATCGCTAAATAAACTCTTTCCGGACGTCGCCAATATATCGGCAATGATAGAGTGCCTCACTTTTGTTTCGTTTTAACATGATCCGTCATTTATAAGTACAGTCAAACCTGTGTAAGACGGCCACCCATTGTCAAAGAGAAAAGTGGCCGTATAAGACAGGTGGTCGTCTCAGGCAGGACTAATCAAAATGAAAAAAACCCAACCCATTCCCACCTGAGGTCCCATTCGAAAGTAGCCGCATTGCTGTTGTTTTTGTTGTTGTTGGTTTGTACACATGTATTTCGTTTGTTATTTTGTTGCGGATTTTGCCCAAGGGTGACCATAAAACGAAATGTATCAGACGAGGAAGACCGAGTGCCATGTTAAAACAAACTCATGAGTCGCCACCACTTGGAGAACGAGCGACGCTTCTGTCACAAGTTCATGTTGACGTTCATTGTTACTTTGTTACAGACTGGGTAAACAGTGACCACTCATCTCACTTACGATTTGTGTATGAGTTCTGGGTGGGGCTTATTGGTTTTGAGGGATCACACGCTTACCTCACCAGCAGCTGAAAATTGATACCTATGTATATTGGTCAACCATGGGAGGGGCCCACGCAACATGATCGGTTGGAGGGACTACCTAACAACAATGACAGGTGATTGGATTATGACAGCTCGCCCACAACGCCAGGGGCCAATGCAATTTATGACAAAACGTAATGGTGTCACTATAAGGTGACCGTCTTAGACAGGCGTTATTACTTGGTGTGATAGGGGTTGTGTGTTAAAATATAGTGGCCGCGGCCGCGTTGGACAGGTGCCCGTCGTACACAGTTAAATTATATAGAAAAAAACGCAAGGGGGGAGATAGAAAGTGGCAGTTTGTACAGGTGGCCGTCTGATAGAGGTGGCCGTCAGGGCAGGTTCGACTGTACTTATTATTGTTATTGAAAACTTGGAATGGGATTAGGAAACGAAAACATCTACTACTTTCACATTGTCAAAGCGTCAGTTTGGCGAAAAACAAGTGAATTAGTTCTTGCGGTCTTTCATCAACAAAACGATACATAATCGAACCTAGTAGAAATATCATAACTCAAACAAAATTTGTGATATCATATTGCTTTCAAATAAAAAGCTGCGCATTCAGAAAGTTATGGCCTGTACTTGATAAGATAGTTACTTTATGTTGATTTGCTTTCACTTGTTCGGTGAGTGGAATTTTTTTCTGTAAAAATTTATATTTCTCATCACCATTTACCATTCTAACTGGTGTAATGCATGCCTATGTTCAAAATTAATCTTTGTTTCATGTTGGAATGTATTCTTCATTCAATTTCTTTCAATTTGATATCATATCATATGTCACCTTTTGAGTGATGGTTATGACATAATGGCCTAATGGAGTACGTAAAAAAGACCATTCATCTTTAGGTTCAATTTGTACTGGATGTTTTTCTTTCAGCCAAGTCTGAATGGTCCAGTTGAACATCGGATTGTCTTGCTTTCTTAAAAAACGTTCAAGACTATCCATGAGCACTCATAGACTAGACCCTACCATTTTGGAGGGACCTTTGATATACGCTGTGTGTGCTGTCCACTTCCATTTGCGTTTTGTTCTTTTTCAAGGTATTTGTATTCAGCAGTTTGTTTTATTGGTACAAATGTCGCTGGTTACATTTGACAAGATAGCGTTGTGGTCTGATAAGTACAGCCATCACTGTTAATATATATATGGACATGGCATTGTGAGTAGGCTCCTCCAGGAATTTATTGACATCAGAAGAGAATTCATTGGCAATCAATGGTCCTTCTCATTCGTGCCAAACATGACACTTCACATCTTTGGTTACCAAATTTTAAAAAATGTAGACAGCTAACTTGCTGTTATGATATCGTGCAAAAGATGCGTTCAACGCCATACTAACAAATTTGCTTCCAAGTCCATGCACACTCAACATAATCTGGTCCCATTCACTGGGTTTTGTGCAAGCTTCTTGTTAGATTCTTGCTCCTACCCTGCATACTTCACATTGATCCCTCGGACATACATACAACAACAGGTCGCTCTTTCTGAATATCTCTCTAAAGTCATCCTGGACAATGTGTGACTCTTTCCGTTTTCTTTTGTACTCTCTATAAAGGCATCTGAGGCTTTAAAAGTATTAGGCAGATAGATTTTGCCTGTATGCTGTCTGTAGTAGTAATGGGAAAGCAATTTCGTCAAGTTTGTCGAAGAATTACTTATTACAAAATTGCTTGTCCTCTTCTGCTCTCTAGTAATTTGACAATCATGGAGCTCCCATCTCCAAGTCATGTAAACTGTCTGTGCAACAGTCTTGAATAACCACTGTGTGAAGGCAGTTGTATACAAACTCATTGTTTTGCATATATATATAGGTAGAATGTATGAGATTTGTTTCAAATTGAAGTGTGGAGCTGGAGAGTAGAAGTTGAAGGTTTGTTGAAGAGAGAATTTTTGGAGCGAATGTGTTTATATTATGAGTTGCTTTTTTTTTTCAAGTGACAAATTAGCTATCATCTACCTGGCCCTGATTAACTACTTAATGATTCAAGAATGGTACATGACAGACACAGCAAGGGGCGCACACTTAAAGCAAATTAAGAAATGCGAAAAGTCGCGATAAAAATATTTTTCAATAGCTGTACCGAATGTGAAATAAGAAGTGCCCCTTAGCTGTCAGTCATAGACTGTAAAAAACACTCATTCGTCAGTAGCCTTTGCCACTATTTACCGACTGGGTCAAGTCAATATTAACATATTCTTTGATGTCATCTTGCCCTTTCTCAACTACACTTAGACTACCAAACCTTGTGATAGATAATGCAAACTGCCTTAACAAAATCATCTGGCTATCGATAGGGTTCGATCTGAGTCAAAGCTAGCAAAGGCAGCACTTTGTTTTAATGTGATCCTCCAGTCTGTCTTGACTGGTGTGATATGGGCGATTGATTTACTGAAGGATTGAAACACTTTGTGGTAATCTTTCAAACTCGGGATTTTAACATAAGGTGAATCAAAGGTTGTACTACATGGGGGGTTCTAAAAGTGATTTTCGAAAGTTTTGTTACTTAGGAGGTTGAATCATGCGGCTAGCGATATATGTAAAGCTTAGTTTTTTATGTGTGCCGGTAGCCAGTTACAAAATGAAAACTTGGCATTTGGCAGGGGTCAAAATGAAGGATGGTAGCAACAGAGCCCCTAGGTTGCTTCACTGTGTCTGTTTGGCAAATTCAATTTGAATGACTGGGACTGACTTAGGGAGCACTGTCGTGTGTTTAGTAGCAGAGGAGTCTTTTTGTTTGAATCGGGGATACAAAAAGAAGACCGTAAATTCCCTTGTTATTATCAGCGCCCTTCCCAAATATATATTTTCTCACAAGTTGTAACGTTTTTATAAATAATTGTCTCCTGTCCCTGCAACTAACTCCCAAATTAAGGGCCCCCCCCCTCCCATCCCCCCGAAGGTTTGTCAATGGAAGTTTATGATAAACTGTCATAGGTAAACCTTGTCAAGTGTATACTCTCATGCAGGAAAGACCAATTACTTTTTTTTATGTCTCTTTTTTGTTATTCTACAAAGGCGGCCCTTTGCACCTGGCTGACATTGAAGAACTTGTCCTTGGCCAAGTAAGTCTCCGATGTCCCTGGCACAAGTGGACCTTTAACATCGACAATGGTTGCTCTATCAGCCCACCTGGCAGGAACGTCGTAGCTCGGACCTACCCCGTCAAAGTGGGTTCAGGGGGAGAACTGCGCATTGGATTCGAGTCATTTGGCCCTTCTGCTTTTGAGATGGATTTCTAACAGTGCAGAGTGCCAATGGAGGAAACTGTAAATTCTGATGAAACTTTTAAGTTTACACCCATGAAGTCTGTGATTGAAAAGCCTTATAAATGTATGTCTTAGTTCTTTAAATATTAGTATTTTGGTCTGAAGAGAGTGGACCATTACATTCCTAGTCTTCATTTACTCTCAAAGAGACACTTGTGATTTAGTAGATGCTCTTTCGTACTGATGTGCTCAGGAACAGTAAGTGTGTTAATTTCTGGTGTACAATGAACTTGTTTTCTCAGAGGTACACTTTTTGTTTACCGAATTATAAAGTGCTGGATTACAGTAGTAATGAAAAAAGGAAGGATTCTAATCTACACACGCTAAAATTCGTCGGGGGTAGATTGTATTAAATGGGCATTGGTCTACTGAATAAGTTATAAGTTTAATGTATTCGTCATTTAGAAGTTTCTGTGGGAAATAATGTGTATATATATATATGGAAGATGTGACTCTTGGTTAAAATGGCTTTTATGTTCTTGTATTTTGCTGCTACTTGTCTCTATGTAAAGTTTTAATATCTTGTCGTTGAAAGTACTCTTTACTGAAGCATTTGCTATGTGATTGTTCTATTGTTAAATTCCTTGTCACATATTCAAGTGTAATGTCACATTCATTTCCAATACCTACTGGGAATTATTTTTGTATTTTATGACTTTTAACTACTTTTGACTTCCGCGACAGCATCGGGGTCACGTGGAAAAAATTGTCAATTGGGGATGTCTGAGTCCAAGCCTTGTACTTTTGTAAACTTTGTTTTCTGCTCTGGCTCTATTGACCTTTTCACCCCAAAGTTGTTATTTTAGCAAACATTTCTGGAACTTGATCACTTCCAGTTTCTGGGTATTACTTTCTTGTAGTTGAACGTGGCAAAAGCTGTAAGAAAAGAGTTTGTGTACATAACTGTGATCAAGGAGATGTACACCAGTATGGCTTTGAATCAAAGGGTATTAAGATTGTTAAAAGCTGCTCTAGCCAACAAGATGTGTAGTTACCCTCCGGGGCGGTGCCACTGACTGAAGTGTCTTTAGGCCATTCCCAAACGGGGGACATTTCTCGTTCTAATGCACAGTAGAATTGTAAATGGGCTGATCCAACAATGTCATGCTCATAACTGTGCCTGAACTACAACAGAGAACTGCTGCTTTTTCTTTCCAAATCCTTACTATCGTCATTTTCCTCTACTTTTTTTGTATGTTTGTCACACTCTTGTGACCCTCTATTTCTGGGGTGCCTTGAAAGTCGAAGCGGACTTTGTGCTGTTGAAGCTAGAGAGGTGGACAGAGTAAGTCTGATTCCCTGTAAGGACTTCTCTGTTGACATCCACCCCTTTGGCGCTCATATGACCTTTTGCAGTTGTGAGCGCCGTAAAACCTCTACGAAAATAAGCAAGACGTGTAGTGTGTGTCTCCATTGTTTTTTTCTTGGTACATACATTTGATGAAGCGAAGTAAGCTTGTGGGTTGGTGGCTGGTGCTTGGTATGATTTGGGCCTCCTTTACTATAAAACCTCTGACATCCTTACCTCTCTCTTTTTTTTGTATGTTACTCTCTAGTAACACCTCTAATCTTCAAAACTTAAACGACTTATTTGTGTTTCAAGTGCCGTAAAACTGTAACTAAAACATATTTTAAAGTAAAAGTAAGATTGCTATATCCAGCAGTCTTGACAAGGGATGTTCGTGTAAGAACAGTCAGTTCATGTCAGTCCTGTTTGTGACTTACATGAGTTGCCTGAGTGAGGGTGAAATGTTTTTTTGCCTTTCAAAAAGAAAATGGAATTGTGACAGGACTTGCAATGCAGGCCTGCCTACCTTCTCAATTTTATTTTATTGGGATATTCCCAAATTCAGACTGAATTTCCTGAGGTCACGATAATGTCATTTTTTTTCTCGATTTATTGTGAGACAGAGGAAAAATTTTTTCTCTCCTTAATTTCTGAAGTCAGTTGGAACGAAGAAACTTGGGTTTTTTTGTTGTTGCTGTAATCAAACGATGCACATAGCTTTAACGTGTTCAAATGTTTGACGGGATTTTGCTACATCAGAGTGAAAACAAGTTAATGCTTGAGGACATTTGACTCGTAAACATGATCTCCGCACACATTTTCTGTATTGCTGTCATTTTCCCTGTGGCAGACTGAAAAGTTGGCAGGTCTGACAAAATTATGACAGTTGTGTGAAATAAACTAAAAAGTTGAAAGACATTGGAGGGCTGCATGGTATTTTTCTGTGTCATTCCTTTTTACGGACATTTGGATTCTGTACTTAATGATTTCCTTGGTTCTTACAGGCACGTTGAACATTTTAAATAATGAGGACTAGTTAAAGTATTTAGAGCAGAATATAAAGTTTAATAAATCTATCGTGGAAGGATCAATTATGAAACCAAGGAAAGGAATTGTAGTTTATTTATAGTAAAGCGTGGATATCTCTGATGTCGCGTTTTGACAAATGTGTTTGACACATCCATAATTCAATAAACTGTGACAATGAAAAAAAAGGAAATATATAGAAGGAAATCAAAGATAGTAAACTGTGACAGTGTAATGGTGGGGTAGACATCCATCACTGGCATTTTCAATTTACTTTGGGTTTTTTTTTAGAAACGTAGAAAGGGTTGTTTTGGGTTGCCAAACTTCTAACAAATTTCTGTCGTAGTGCAAGACTTATTGTCAACCTCTGCTAAAATGGGATGCTTTGTTTTTGTTGTCAGACAATTAAGTTTTCTCTACCATCATGAAATGTACCCGGTATCGATCAAAGGTAAGATGGACGGATAGTGCTTGTGTGCCCCTCATGCAGTGTCGAAGCAAGAGAAAGGGAGTAGTTAATTCTAATGAGCCTTTCTACTAAGAAATTGCTCTTGGGAAGAGCATGTCACCCACCCCTCTTGTGTGTTCAAACAACCACAGGAACACATTCATAAAATTCACACAACAAGTGATTAGGCCATTGCAAGGCCACACTCTTCATCTTATCATCCAGCACCCTCCCTCGCATGACTAGATTCGAGGAAGTTCTGCCGCCGGACACACACTACCGGTAATGTGTAATGATTCGTGTGTCTTGATTCCAGTGATGTATTAAGCTGTGTGTGTGTTTGGGGGGGGGCTGATGGACTTGTGTAGCCTGATACTCTCAATGATAATGCATGGGTGTGCTTTGGTTTCCATTTCGCATGCAGGTCGATTTGAATTCGAGAAAATTGCAGGGAATAAATTCGAAGGGGCTTTTCAAGATTAGTTGTACAACACATAGGTGCGTGTATTCGAGTAAACAATGCTACCAATAAAAAGTATAAATATATAATATAATCAGTTTGGGAATGTCAAATTGTTCAAGCTGTCTGTGAATTTTTGTTTTCAATTGCATGTTTGAGTTTTAAGTTATCTGTGCTTAACTGTAGAATTTAAGAAGTTCCCTGTTTTGTTTTCTCATTAAGTATGGTAATTTTTGTAGATTCAGACGTCTGATGCTCAACTTTCATCATTTTGCTACTTTCAGGCAGTGATGTATGGATATGTGAATGTTGGACTTAAAACAGGGCAAGCTAACTGTAGTTAATCTGGTAAAATCAAATATTAAAATATTGATTTATATGAGTTTTTGTCATTGTTCATTTTGGCGAAGGAATTGGTTCCTATGAATTTTGTTTTAAGTGCCTTAATTTGCTTGATTCAAAATAAAAATTAAAATGCTCTTTTGACAAAAGTGAGGAATATACAGTGTGAGATGAATTGTCACTTTAATGTGTGTTCACTTTAGTGGACAAATGGCTTTGAGATAAAGCAGTTCAGTTGTGCATAACAGAAAAATAAAGTCCATGTTTATTTTAAGTGTGTTTTTTGTTGGATACAAAGTTACAAAGTTGGAGGCAAAGTTTGAAATACATTTTTAAAAGCAATCCTCATGAATTTGAAATGCCGCCTTGATTGTTAGTTTTTCTTATTCATAGTACTCTCATATTCATAATATGATTTGCATATTGTTATAATTGATTGTGTTGTGATAGCATGATTGTCTACCCAGATGGTTCAGCTAATCTAAAGATGCACATTGGCCTCTATTTTATGAGTATTTGACATGTTTGCAAGATGCTCTGGTGTGTGTATGTGTATGCATGTGTATGAGTGTGTGTGAATGAGATAAAGAGAGAGAAAGACTGGATTGTTGTGTGCATGCATGGGTATGAGCAATAGCATATTTGTATTCATATAGCGTATTATGCAGTGTTATGTAACGATGATGATATTGAAAAGTGCTTAGAACTAAGTCGAATGGGAGTGAGCGCTATAGAAATTGTCTGCATTATTATTCACGTTTTGTGAACACTACTTCTTTTTTTTTTTTCTTTTTTTTGACAATAATGTAATATAATGAATATGAGTGGTTCAGGTCACTGCTGGCACTATTTGTCGAGACTCATTTAAATCGGGTGCCTGTCAATTTTTGGACAGGATATGGAGTTACTGATATCACTTAAATCTTGTTTATTTAGTCTTGCTTTTGATTGAAAAAAATACCCATTTATCTAAATATAGAAGTCGAGATATTTTGCTTTTTAATGAGAAGGGGGTCGGCTGGTGTATGAGTTTAGTATTTAACAAGAAAATGGCTACCAAAGTTTGATGAGTTCCAAAGCTTGAGTGCCCTAGAAAACTGGAAATTTACATTTTGTTTGTGCTTTGGGTTAACATTTTTCCAATAAAATCCGCTCAGAAATGGACATAAAAGGTGCTCACACACACACACACACACACACACACACACACACACACACACACAACAACAACAACAACGACAAACTGTTAAAATATTGCCCAACGGGAGAGAACGAGTCTTGTTTCTTCAATTCTCATATATTTTAACTAGAGCCTGATTTCACCACAATAACACACATTTGGTCTCTCTTCTGTGGGTATTTCGAAGCGTTCATATATGACTCTTGTCAGTTTGCAGTCCAGAAATCTGACAGTGGAATATATTCACTGGTATATTATGTTATTGCTGTTCATTGACAAGGGAAGGTATTGTCAGTATGTTAGTGTTTTAGAGCCTGTAAACTGACAAATTGCATTGTTTGGTTCCCAGGAAGTTGAAATTCTTTCAGAATGCTATCAGGTCTGCTGAGGTAATAATATATAGAATGTAAAGTGCTTTTACTTTTAGAGTGAGTTTGCTGTTGAGCGCGAATTTGCGTGTAAATGAAATCTATTAATATTATTAATGTGAATCAGGTAAGCCAATGGGGTCTTGGTTTTTCTAAACTGTTATTGTAAATGGATTGGGGGG